GGGGTTGGACCAGATGATCCCCAGAGGTCCCTTCCAACCCCTACCATCCTGTGATTCTGTGGTTCTGTGAATCACAGCAGTCTGTCAGGCTCCCTCCCCCACTGCAGGATTTTAGAGGGTATGCCTTCTCCGCAGTGATGTGGCGGTGCGTGCTAAAGACAAGCACAGAGGCACATCTCTGCAGGCTGTTTGCATCGCATTCACTCACCTAAGCAGCCTAAGGCAGATGTCATCTCCTTGGACCAATCCAGATTTCTGGATCCAAAAAATTGCATCCCAACCCCTCCCATCCTCCTTTCAGTTTGGACACAAGCTCATCTTCATCCCTTTTACTCCCACTCTACATCTTCATCGCTCCAGCCTTGAAGTGCTCTGCCTCCTACACATTCCCAAACACACAGGTTACACCCACGAGCAGCCCCCTGATGCTCCGAAGGCCGCGGTGCTGCAGCAGACCCTGATCCCTAGCTTCCCACCTGTGGGCTCCCTGTGCCCCAGCACTGAATGCTGACAACCAGCTGCAGCATGGATGCGGGAATCCCAGTCACAGCACCAGATGCTGCCATGGAAATAATCCAAATTACAATTTAGATCAGGTCAGAGCAGAGGCAGTTTGTTGCTCTGGCTATAGGAGAGGACATGGAGCAGCAGAGTGACAGCCCCTGCTGATGCATTCTATTAAAAAAGGGAAATCACATATTACAGCGCTTCAACCTTCCTTTTCCAGTACCAGTCGCATCTTTAGATACAGCAGCATTTCAGTGATGTCATCATTAGCTCAGTGACTTCACTAGAGCAATTCATTGCTTTCATCCCATTCGAAATACATGGAGAACAGACAAATAACTGAAAAATGTACGCACCAGGAAAAGTTGGAGGAAGCCAACCTAAAATTTGGAGCAGATCGACCCCGTCGCATAGCTGCAGCCCTCCCCCGTCTGCTGGAGTGGGCTGCTGAGTGGGCACACGGGCAAGGGCAGGAGGAGCTGCTGTTGTTCTTGTCTCTCAAAGCCACTTTGCTCGCAGTTTGCACGGAGCTAAATACATTACTCGGGCCAGGTTCACCGCAGGTCCTTCCAGCCTCCTGAGTAGTTGTAGTGGAAGTGACGAAGCAAACTATAGCCTGAGACTGGGGTGGGAGAGACATTTTTTGAGCAACAGGAGAGTCTCCTCCACCTCTCCTCCACTGCCTTCTTGGGAACATCTCCTAGGGTGAAATGCCTGGGTGCATCGCAGGAGCTGGAGCAACCCCACCTCCCCAGCAGTTGTTATGGGGCTGGGGGTTGTCTTGATGTCAGCTGATTGACCCCACCTTCTTCATCCTTAAATGTCTCAGCCAGTGGTGGTGGAGTGGTTCATTCAGAGCGTATTCTGTGTGAACCAAAACATTTAAAGCAAAGTTCCTGCTTCTCCAGTGAACGAGCCTGAACTCTGGCTCTGTGGTGGAAGGAGGGTCTGAACGTTGTCTCAGCCCCTTCCCCTGCACTGAGCCTGCTTCACCACGGAGCCTGCTGCCTTTAGCGCCTAACTTCAGGGTGGGAGGGGGGAACACCATGTCGGGCAGCACAGAATATGTCACCTGGCCTGTCCCTTGGGCCCATATGGTTGCTCTTAAAGGCAGAATCTTTTAATGATCCCCAGAAGGGTTCCAGCTCCTCAAGGGAGGAGAAAGTAAAAAAAACATATACCCCTTTGAATCAGGGATTTATCTGAGCATCCTTGGACACATGGACCTCTTGTACCACTGGCAATCACACTGGTTGACCGGGGGTTGTCCTGCCCAGCCACCCCTCGCATGCAGGCAGGATTGTGTGTATTTTTCTAATGACAGCAGCCACAGGAGACTCACATTTCCACCGGGTACATTATTCGCTGAGTGATGTTCCCCCATAATTCACCAATTTCCTCTGTACTACTCAGTCCTACTACTCATCTTTATCAGGCTTAAATCTCTGCAAGTTGAGGCTATTCCTTTGCAACTGTGCATTTTACTTTCTACCTAACTCTTCACAGTGTTGAAAGTTCAAAAAGTAGCAAGCTCAGCCTTGGTCTGTTTCTTTCAGTTCCCCTCCCGCTTTATAGCCAACACTGTTTACATATTTGATAGCTGGAAGTGATCTGTTACAGGAAAAGGTCTTGTACATATTCTGCTAAACCTCTCTTTTCATCCCTGAAACTACAAATTTGGATCATTAGACCTTCAGTTTCAGCCATGTACAACTCTTATTATTCTTCTAATGTTTTATAAACTTCTCTTTTCCAATCCACTTGTTCCAATTAACCCGAGGATTTACTAGCACTAGTCTTGTTTGTGTGCCCCCATAATGGTCTAGAAGTTTGCTTACAAACTGAACACTACGGGCACATTAGCAAGGGATCAGTCCCTCCTCACATAAAGATTATATACCTTTAATCTGGGTACGCTTCCCAACTTGACCAGATGCTGCCGGCTACAGCACTGTTAAGGGCTGTCAGAAGCAGCCGCCTCCTCCAGCAGCCCCAGCCCAGGACCCTCCTGCCCGGCACCTGGGGTCTGTGGGGGGGACGCGGCTGCTGCTTTCCCCTTTGCAGGCTGACCCAGCAGCAAAGCTGAGCACAAATCCTAGAGACACACAGACACGGGACACACGCACAGAGGACACCGACACAGACTGCTGTGGACAAGGTGCTGCCCTCAGCAGCACCCGCACGCAGCACCCTGCGTGAGACACAAGAGCAGGCACCCACGTCCCCTCCTGTGCTCTGTCTGGTAGAGGCGTACGGTCGCTGGTAAAAGCACCCACCCCCCTCCCTAGGTTCACAGCCACGCACACACGTTCATGGGTGCCCCAAGTGTGGACACAGCCATTCTGCCTGCCCGCCATCCCCACCCGCATCCCAGCCCTTGCACCCCCTTCACGGGCCCTTCACCCGCTGGCTGGTGCAGCTGGATGCACCGCACACGAGCACTCGCACACTCGTCCCTCGGGAACTCCGCATGCCAGTCGCACTCCAGTGCGCCCTTGCCAGATTTCACCCTTTTAGGCAAAAGGGAAGCCATGTTCTGCCTCAGCCACTGTCCAGTGTTTTTCTAACTGTCCTTTAAGACGCTTTACTTGATTTTTTTTTTCCTGAGAGTCTCTCAGACTTCTGGTCTGGGATTCTATTTTTCTTTTGGTGGCCTCTTCATACCATCCAAAAAATATACAACCCACTGAAACTGGGGTACTTTAGGGGGTTTGTCACAATTGGGGTTCCTTCAGGGAACATCTGGACTCCAAGGAACTCCTTAAGCTTAATTCCTTCAGTGCAATCAGCTGTGGTTTTTTCACCCCCAAGGTTAAGTATCCAGAACCAGAGGCTGAAGGAAAGGAGACAAGATACATGAGGGGTCCCTCCTGGTCATGTCGTCTAGCGTGAGCTCACCATGCTGGCTGAGGCTGGGGTCGTTAGCATCGGTACCAGAGGAGGCTCAGACTGCAGCCAAAGACAGGGAAGGGTTAATGGGGTCCCTCACACCAGTAGAGTCTTTAACTGCTGGGGCAATCTCTTTTGCAGCTGACAGATGTCCCAAGAGTCTGTCCCTAAGCGGCACAGACCTCACTGCCCAGCTCTCAAGCACCACCATTCACACAGGTTCATTCACACCGTAATTCCAACCTGGACCTTTCCTGACCTACCGCTCCTAAGGACCTTATCAATTTGTGGTCGCTCTTCCCTCTTTCAGCCAGCTAAAGAGGGGAAACTCTTAGTGGGACTCTGGACTGACCTGTGTTAAGAGCTGGGATTCACCAGCCCCTGGATGGTGCAGGAGCCTACAGATGACCCTCGCCCGAAGCCCCAGCAGGGATTTCAAAAGGTCAGAGGACAGAAGCTGTATGTACCTGCTACATGCACAAGGCCACAGAACCGCTTCAAGGCTGCCCTGGGTTCTGCTTTCTTCAGTGCAAGAACTAATTTATTGTGACATGACTGACTATCGTTCCAGAAGACAGGGTGTGAGTTTGCTCGAGGCCCACTCAGGCTGCACTTTCGTGTCTCTGCTTCCCCACTTCACAGCCCAAGAGGCCAAGGCAGAGGGCAGATACCCCCGGCTGCTCTCTCCCCTTGCCACAGCCTGAGCCCAAGCACACGCAGCTCTCCTCCCAGACTGGGCACAACACCCGGAGAAGGGTAAGCGGCGAGCAACAGGCTGGGGAGTAATTCAAAGCCTCCGAACACCCCTGTTCCGTCCCTGTGAAAAGTCTGGTCTTCAAGACTCAACACGTGGTTTAGCATGAGAAAGACCTTCAAAAGGCAGTGTCACTTTTTGTTTCTCTTCTCATGATGTCAGGTTAGAAGAACTTGTCCATATGTCACACGCACTGGTCTCCGTCAGCGAAGCCCGATCTAGAAAGTAAAAGGCAGCACTTCTCTCTCGTAAAGTCAGTTACATCAGAGGTCATCGTTAGCTCATCCTATCTAGAGTGATGCCAGGATTTTTATCTAAAACTGCTGTCAAGAATTTTCATTTCTTTTTAATAAATTATAAAAGGATAATTGTGCCTAAAGGCGAACTCCCAACAGGAAACATTTTTCCTCTTATTTATCGAACATATATACATGATACATGTCCCTTTTCCGAGTTAAGTAAAGGTGGCCCGTCCACCTGGTGTCAAATCCGGTAAATTTGTCACAATTTGGTATGTG